GGTTATCTCCATGGAGGTTTTTTGTTTTGTTTTGTTTTTGCCTTAAATACTGAGTCAAGCTAGTTTAGTACAATTGAGGAAGTAATAGAATGGGAATTAAAAGGTCTGGGATTGAATTTCCAATCCAATACATTTAACTTAGACCTTGGTTAATGCCATGTGAGCGGGATCAAAGGCTGTGAAGGGACACCAGGGTCATGGAGGTGAAAGAATTCACCATAGACAGGATGGAAAGTACAAAAGGTGGATTTATTGAACTGCTGTGGAGAGACAGGGATAAGACAAGAAAGGGCTTGTTCGACCACTGAAAGAAAACTTACGCTCTTTACCATACTCTTGAGTTTGTAGGCTATCTCTAAGATTTAACATACTGGTCTGTGCTAAATGCTCTCTACTCAAGTGTCAGGCCTTATTCCCTGCTTGCTTTTAAAGTTTACATCAGTCTCTAATGGCCAAAGGTGGGCCTTATGGTCCTGTTTCAATAGCAATCAATTGGTTCCTTTATCTGCCCAAGGTCTCAGAGCCAGTTTCTTGTGGTAAAACTTCTGCTCCCTTAGTCTGTTTAAAACTCTCCATCTTTGTATGGCAAGTAAGAAAGAGACCATGCTTTTAACGCTATAAGCCCAACTGTTAATGTCTGTTATTAGTATTTGTCAAAACTAATTTTAGTGTAATGATTAACAAGAATGAACTCTGTAGCTGGTCTTAACATGTTGGTGCCCAGTATCTTCTCAAAACCAGAAATGATAATAAGTACATAATTGAGAGTGTTATATAAAATGAGAATGGGTTATTCACAGATTAGTGTTTTTGACCTATGACCTTATGAATGTATTTATAGAAGATACTTTGGAAAGTATATGGTTAAGTAGGAATTTCTACATGATGTTTAGCTTCTGCTACTACTATTATATTTTTTAATCTGCATTTCCCCCCCCCCCCAAGGTTGTGGTCTTAGTTGCAATTAAAAAACCAATGGCATAGATTCATAAGACTTTGAATTTTTTAAGAGTTAATTTATAAAGCTATGTGCACATCCCTCGTTATAAAAACATGGTAAAATTTAAACTTAGAGAGAAACCAGCTGTTATAGGACCATGGCTTTTTATTTCACTTAAATTCTGTCTTTAAATTGTGAACAATTGTACTAAAGACAGTAGAAAACAGGACCCTAGGTAATAGTGTGTAGTTGAGGCTAAAAGCAAAGATGGTAAAAATTGAGTTTCTCCAATAAATTTTTCCATGCGTAAAGTTCAGGGAAAAGATAAACACTAGGAATGCAGACATTCCCGGTGATAATTGAAGTAAGTTGGGTTAAATCAATAGACAAGATTCTTACCTTTTTGGGGGGGAAAATCATACTTCTAAAGATTTCTTCCTTTGAGGTGAAACAAGAAAAAGTTGTCACTGAAGAAGTTAAATAAACAAGAAAAAAATGTCACTGAAGCAGTTTAATAAACTGTCATAATTGGAGAAGGAGGGAGAATGGGGCGTACAGAGATAACTATACCAGCAAAGGAAGGTTATGCAGAGTACACATTGGTCATCTACCCAGTACTATAAAAACTAGGAAAAAAGACTGAGAACAAGCCTTTGCATTTGCAGTGTAGGCCATCACTGGCGACTTTGGGGAGAAGATTGCAATCGATAACTCTGATTACATTTTCAGCTTTACCTGCATGTGGCATCATCCAAAGCTATGGTCATGCCTGCTCAGAAAAAGTATGAAGACTAAGGAAATAAACACTTGAGGGGAAAAAACTTGGAGTAAGAAAAAAGAAAAGGCTCTCACATGTCAGACTGAGAGGGAGCAGTTAGAATAGATCAGGAGAGAAGATTGTCATCAGAACTAAGGGAATGAAATTTTCAGAAGTAGTTAATGGTGAATTAAATGAGACTGAAAAGTGCCTGTTGAACATTTTTGACTTGAATGTGTTGAATCATCATTACTGTCTTCGCCAGGGTAGTATCAGAGCAGTGAGAGCAAAACACAAAATCAGATTGCAAGAATTTTTTTTTTAAGATTTTATTTTTTTATGCATACAAGAACTGGGGAAAGGCCAGAGGTGCGGGTGTTATGAGGATTCACCAGAGACAGTGGAGAACAGCACAGGTGGACTGACTGAAATACACTGCTGATGGGAGCAGCAGGCAGGTCAGGAGAGGTCTGCTGCGTCAGGAAAGGTCCCCCTGGCTGGGGATCGAACAGCTGCAGAGGCTGTAGATTGCAAGAATTTAAAACACTAGAGAAATGACTGTGGTCTCTTCAGTGTTCTTTATGCTTGGCTAAGGAATAATGGGAATAAGCAATTGCTAGTTAAAAGAGGATGAGGCTTTTGTGGTAGGTAATTTATGCTTTTGTCTAGTAAGACAGCTATTGAACTAAGTCATAGTGTAGTTATGAAGCTGGTGAGAAGTTGAGAGATAGGGCAGAGAAAGATTATTAGTAATTGGACATTCTGAGGAAATGGAAGGCATCGGGGGTTCAGTGGTTAAATCATGTAGTCACATTGGACATGTGGACATGTATTTCTGAGTGATAAAGTGAAACAGAGATGAGTTGGTCGGAGAACTTTGAGATTAATATTCACATATTCTTACAATTTCCACAACATCCTTCAATTTAATGCCTTTTTCAGTCATTCCTGCCGCTTATAACTGGTTACATTTTCTATATTCCTTTACCACTTTCTAATTATTTTCTATTAGTATCTTGAAATCTACAACTACATTTTTGTTATTTGTACATTTACCAATGACTCTAATGTCCTGTTTCTTTTTCTTTTATCTTTACCCTTTGCATTAATGAGATTTCATTATATGAGTACTATATTTGATGAAATGATGTCTTATTGGTTATATTATTTCTAATCCTTATGACTTAATTGTTCTTTTTTATTTTTAAAGCTTCATTACTATTCCAAAGAAAAATAAAAAGAAAACATCGACTCAGAAAGCACAAGAAGAATATGAACGGGTACAAGCTAAACGTGCTGCTAAGAAACAAGTAAGGTCCATTTTTATAATATTTAGATTAATTTTTCCTTATTTTTCTTAAGTGTTACATATATAAACTGTCCTTCTTAGTGTGGGGTATATAATATGTCCTGTATAAATATTTGTTGAGTAAATCAGTGGTCTGAGCAGAAATTATTAGTATATTCACATTTCTTGATTGTTATCCAGGGTAGCCATTAGTAGTAAGTCTAAAATAGGGTTTTAAATAAATTGTTTACTGGGATAATACAACTGTCTGGGGCAATGTTTCCCGGAATTGTGTCCCAGGAACTGGTACTTTTAAACAGTACCTCAAGAGATTCTCATTATAGTAATACTTGAGAGCCACTGATCTAATAAGAAAGATAGAGATTATTTTTATAATTTTGCATTAAAGCAAGTAAAAGCCAACAGGGAAAGTGTTAGAATAAAGTATTTCCTTACTAAAAGCAGATAATCTTTCCCATTAAAAAGCATACTAACTTAGCTTAGTAAAAAGTTAGTGCTCTTATTTAGAAGCTTATTGACCTATCACTTTAAAAGTTTATTGAGTTAATCAAAAATACTGTAAAGATGGCACTGATACATAATTTATGTTTTAGTATAAGAAGTTGTGTAGTTAGTAAATCTGGAAGTTCAACATCTAAAATTTTATTCTTAGAATGGAGGCACATTTTGATGAAACAAAAATATTTCTCCATGAAAATAATTGACCTGTGTTTCTGTATCTTGTTATTTTGTTAGCTTGTTACATTCTACTTTTTCCCCCCACCAAAAATATCTGATAATCTGCCACTTTTGGACCTAGAATACCATGCCATTACATGGTAAAACCTTTAACTACCTTCTTAAACTTCCTTATATAGAATTTTGCCATCATGAAAACTGATTTCAAATATTATCGTAAAAGTCAATACATTACCCACAGGATATCAAATTTAGCATTGATTAAGGATTCATAGTTGTTCAGACTAAATTTTTTAAATTTTGTCCAGACAAACTCCATTGAGGTAAACTAGACTTAATCTACCTAAATTCACAAATAAGTTCCAGATACTTTTGTGCTTATTAAAATTAATGATGTTCTATACCATATAAGTGATGTGATTTGTAATGTAGCATAATGTAATGTTGTACAGACTTTACATTCACAAGATCTGGATCTTAAACACGGCTCTACCAGTTACGTGACTTCTTAGATAAGTCACTTCCGTTAACTCTGAGCTTCAACTCCATGTCTGTATGATGAAGAGGATGACTAGCATAACAAGTTTTAAAAGAATGTAATGTGTCATATTGTATGTGAAAGCACTTTGTTACTGATAAGCCGTCATACACAGTAAGGCACTGTCCTTTAGGAGTTATGTTGTTACGTGGAAATTGAAAATAGTGCGCATAATACATTATTTAGGAACATGGGTCCAATGCTTCTATTTGTATTTGGTAAAGTTACACTAATACTTTTCAAGTAGTGTTTTTAGGGCTTATATATAGCTATAAATTGAAATTAAAATAAGTGCACTGACTATAACTTTTCCTTATACACAAAGGAACTTGTATAACCTAGCAAATCATATGAATGTGAAAACTCTTAAACGCTCAAAATTATAATGCCTGACACACTTTTATACATAAATAGTCGGTAAATACTTGAGTTAAATCAGTCAGATGGCAAATTTAAAACTAATACCAAATACTCTGGAAATGAACATTTTAGTGTTCCATGAACTAGATAACCTCTCAAGCCCCATCTGCCTTTTCACTGGATATAATTTAAATGTTAAAAACCATAACAGAAATGTCTCCTTTTCTGTGCTCTAATTTCATTTGCATTTGATTAGTTAAAAGTGTTTAATAATTTTTAGATCCTGTGTTATAACATGTAATACATGTGTGAAGTATTAAATTACTCATCACTGAAGTTTGCATGTTGATCTCTATTTTAACACATTGAACTTGTTACTAATGAAAATTATGTAAATAATTTCAGGAATTTGAGAGAAGAAAAAAAGAGAGAGAAGAGGCTCAAAAGCTGTACAAGAAGAAGAAAATGGAAATGTTCAAAATATTGAGCAAAAAGACTAAAAAGGGCCAACCAAACTTGAATTTACAAATGGAGTATCTTCTTAAAAAAATTCAGGAAAAAAATTAAATCAGTTGTTTTTTTCTTAGTGAAGTGTTAAAATGTCCTCTGTCTTGTTCTTTTTTTTTTTATGGGTAACATAATTGAATACTTAAATTTAAGTATTAAAAAGCCAAATAATTTATTCTTGTAAAAGAAAAGTTTCTTAATTTTCTCTGTACAGTGTGCTATGTTTCTTACTTATTTGCTTCTGGAGGAGGTTTGGTATATTACTTTTGTAATATATGAAATTCAGATGAAATAAAATCTTAACCATAAAAGAGCAAAGCTTTCAATGAAATATATCAAAGATTTTTCATTTTAATAATTTATGCTTTTTAAGTTTGATTTGATTTGCATTCGATTTAATTTGCATTTGAAGGCAAGACTTCCTTGGACTTTTTATGTAGTTATTTTAAATAAAGTGGATATTTCAGGGAGATGAGGATGGACTTTTAAGAAACCTGAGATTTAGATACCTGGGTGCTGCTGCACTTGCTAAGGAATGATGTAATCTTTATAAAGCAGAGGCTGAGATCTTTACATTGGTGATGGAAAACAAGGAGTGGCACAGCAAGAATAAGATCTCTAGATGCTGTGGAATCATACTGTGTGAGCACATTGTTGCTTGGCGTAACTGGTGTTGGCTCTAGTGATACCTGTGACTGACGTCAAGTACTGGAATGTTTCTCCTTGAAATCACTGGAAAATGAGAAAGGCATACCAGTCATTTTTATAAAAAAAAAAAAAAGGACTGTGAAATAATATTTATAAGACTTGCATAATAAGTTTTATAAATGGTAGCAGATGCAGCCTGAAATTACATTGTTTTAGGGAGCCCTTGCTGCTATTGCTCATTCTATTTAAAAATCCATTAGGAGGGCCCTCCCTGGTGGCGCAGCGGGTTAAAGCACAGCACTGAGAAGTTTAAGCCACTTCCCTATGAGTTGATTCCCGCCTGTCCGGTGGAGATCCACATGGCGAGGCAGACCTCTCCTGACCTGCCCGCTGCACCCCTCAGCAGTGTACCTCATCCATCTGCCTGTTCTGTTCCCCGCTCTGTCTCTGGTGAATCCTCTCACCCTCTGCATCTCTGGCCTGTACCCCAGTTCTATATGAATAAATAAATAAATCTTAAAAACAAAAAATCCATTAGGAAATGCTGAAGGAACAACTGATTAAAAATGAACATCCTTTATTGTCTAGGAAAAATCATTAGAAATTTTCAATATGGCCCCAGTCCTGCTCCCTACACTGGGTCAGAGCAGAGTCCAGGAGGATGCTCCGTGCAGACCCCTGCCCCTCAGCATCCCTGGCCGTGCTGGGACCCGGCGCCTTATCCGCTGCACTATGCAGCAGCTACTGCTGCCTCCTCCTGTGTAAATATCTCTCAGTGGCTGGTAAAAGAGCCTGAGGCTTTTGGGCGAGGAGCACTGCTTCCCAGGAATATCTGGCCAGCTGCCCAAGGGGCCTGCAGACATCTATAACTGTGGAAAAAACGAGTTCTGTGTGGAAGGGGACAGAGCACACAATGTCACTAGCTGTGTGTGGGAGCAAGGTCAGCCAGATGACCCAGGACACTGCCCCAGGCTGAGGTGGCCAAGGAAGTTTGCTCCGTCTAAAACCACTCAGAGTCCTGTTCAACTGCCCCATCCATGGACCCAAGATGGCAACTCTGGGAGCCCCCTAGTTCCTGAAGTTCACAGCCCTGGTTTTGATGGGGCCAGCTTCGTTGGGGGGTGTTGGGCTGGTGCTGAGCCTACAGGCAGTAGCCTTCTTTGTTCTGTGCTTCCTCAAGGCCAAGGACAGGACCTACCAGACACTAACCTGACCTGCTTTGGGCCTGGATTCCACACTGAGGGGAAGGAGGATGAAGAGGTGCCCTCTTGGCTCCCTTGTGGGCGGCAGGGGTTGGGGAGGAATGGGGGAAACCTTTTGCTACCAAGTTTTGGTCTCCTTCGGCACCAAGCAGTCTCAGCACCCTGTACCTGACCTCCCCTCCCGGCTTGGTCCTGGAACTTGCAGCTGAGTACATCCCTCAAACACCTTTAGACATCTAGGCTCACCCATCACCCCCGCAGGGCTCCCTGCAGCGTTAGGTATTAAAAGAGTTCTTTCCAGCAAAATATTTTAAAAATTAAAAAAAAAAAATTTCAATGTTACATTGCATTTAAAATGAGCAACTCAGAAAATCTGAATTTGACTATAGTGATGAAGATAGTACACAGTGAGGCAAAGTAAAATAATCTCAATGAATTGCTTTATGATAATTTTGTACATCTGTTTTACTTCCAGATGTCATTAGGTTAGGACAAAGCAAGGAAAAAGATCTAGTCTGTTTCAAAGATGAATAAATTTTTTGTTGAGTAGCTACTATATTTGTTAGGTCCATATTAAGGAGTTCTTTTAAAAAGACTCCTCCAAGGATCTTGAGAAAAAATTTCAGGTAATTAGATTGGAAGACTAAAAATAATCAGTGACTGTCAATTACAAAATACAAAAATACAAAATACAAAAAAAAAATACAAAATACAAAAATACTTTAGTGCACTAAAGAATCCCCCATGGAGCTTCTTACCCCCAGAGAATTGAATAGCATTGAATAATTAAGAATAGTAATGAATATTAAGTAGCACCCCCAATTGATTCTGCTGTTATTGTTTCTCAAATCATCCTTCCCAGAGCACTGAACCAAGGCTTCAGAAAAGATTTATCTAGTTGAAGATCTCAAGGAGTTTCATGGATAATATGGCATGTGAGAAAAGCCTTTAATGAAAATTAGAGGTAAAAATCACATGGGGAAATTACAAAGGAAACACATGCTTGGGATATATTTAAACATTTAAAAGTCTTAAAAATAGTTACATTATTAATGGGAGGTAACATATCTCCATTCCTCCATTCCTTCCACATTTTCAGCTCTTGATTATCTTCGTTCTGTTCAGGGGGGTAGTGACCTATGTAAGTGATAAGCTGGCGAGCTGTACCTGGCCTGCATATAGAGTGCATGTCTTTGATTATTATCCCTTGACTAAAAATTGAAAAAGGCAGGTTGGGTGAATAGGAAGAAGAGTGTAGTGATAGAGGCAGAATGTGGGAGATCACCTATTCTCAGGAATGTAACAAACTCCAATTTGTGCTGCAAAGGTCAGTCCCCAGAGGAATACATTAAATGGGAGGGAACAGAACAAATGGGGCTTGGAGTGGCCAGAAGTTGTGGTTTCATACTTTAATGTGTACACAGGGAATTTTGAGCTTGACAGTTTGTAGAAGCGTGTGGTGGACCATCAACGAGATTTTTATAAATGTGCAGTAGGCTTTTAATTGTGGTTTTGGCACAAGGCTTTAAGCCTTCAAGGCACGTGGGCTTTTCACTTGAAGTTTAGGGTAGCTTTATCCGCAGATGTGGTTATTTCTAGAAGAAGGGTGTGATACAGGTCTTAACACAAGTCTGCAGACCTCCACAAAGAAGGATGGGGGCGGAGGGGTGGGACTGATAGAGATACCCTTCAGCTAAGGGATCGAAGGTTTCTGTGGGACTTACCCAAATGCTGGCTTCCTGGATGGTCTCAGCTAATTGCCTTCAAGAGGATTTCATGAGTTTCTGAGTCTGCTGGCATTAACAAAGGCATTGCATTTTCAGTCAGCCTCTTAAACTTGAGCTACATCTAGGCTCCTATATGAATACCAGGGGCTCTATCACAGACTGCAGAGACCGTAGAAAAAGTGAGACAAGGATTTAATAACAAATATAGGTATCTTAAACAGTAACTAGTTGCTGCTTTTAAAACATCAAGGCAGAAGTCTAAAATACATTGAAACTGCAATACATTCTAGAGAAATTCAAGTGTTCTTTCCAGTTACGAAAAGGCAATGTAAAAGAGCAAGTGTTGAATATACTAGATGGGAAAGAAAGATAACCTAAAACTCAATGTGGTGACCTTGACTAAAACATTGCAAATGTGTACTTAGCAAGACAGCATCCGTCTCAAATGCCATCTCAGAGCGAAGATAGAGTAGTTTATGCTAAATATTTTGACTTCTTGTTGAAAATTTTCTTTCCATTTAAAAGATCCAGGACAATTAGTGTAATTGATTGGCATTTCGACAGGGATGAAGCCATTCCCAGCTATGCTTCCAACAGATCCATAGGTTTCTTCTATAGAAATTCTGCTACTTGTTATCTTTGGCATTAGCAACTACTGGATTCAGGGAATATAATTTTGTGCAGGATAACTGCCTCCTGATTTTATAGATGTGAAGAAATGCTATGATAACCTTGGGTGTTACTACTAATTACTTGGATCTTTTAAAAGCCAAAATGCTAGAAGAACTGAATGAGTCACCTCTGTTCCCAAGAAATACACAGGCTACAGCTGCTGTAGGAAGTCATCTGGACATTAGAACATTCTGACTGTGAGTGAACATTGCATGAAACCGGGAAGGCCTTGAATTATATTGGTCTGGGTTTTGATTTTTTTGGCCATTAGACATTAACTTGAAAGGTAGTGTTATTTGGGTTTTATTTTTCTCTCTGGGAGTTTAATGGGGAAATACATATATATATGTACTAAAACATGGGACATCAACATTATGCTGGCAGTCAAATATTGGGCTCTCTTTATATATTTAGATAATTCCCAGTGGAAATACCAGATTGAATCACTCAAGTCAGACAGATTTCTACACCAGTGAGGCATATCTCGTAGCCTAGCAACCCTGGGTTTAACAAGTAGATTGAATGATGTTAAACAAATTAAACATTCAAGATGTATAATTTCTGGAGTTTTGGCATACATGCATACCCATTAAATCATCATCACAATCACAAATCCATCACCATCATCTTCAAAAGTTTTGTCCAGGACTCTTTGTATTCAACCCTACCAGGTAGCTACTGAGAAGCTTCCTGTCACTGGAGATTGCATTTTCAAAATTTTAACATAATTAAAACCACATACTTTGCACTTACTGTGTCTGGGTTCTTTCAATTAGCATAAAAACATTGAGATTCACCCATGTTGTTGCATCTGTCAATAGTTTGTCCCTTGTTATTGCTGAATATTCTATTG